AGGGAAAGGGGCAGGAGGCCACCGAGATAGGTTAAGTTACACTCTGCAACCTCACAATTTGCACTGCACGTTCTGCATCTCCCCCAGGTGAAAGTCATTATAAGTATTCCGTCTTCTCCCACGACATGTCATAGATGCCACAGCCATCCTTCCGTCCTAAAAACACAGAAAATAATTACTACTATCAAGGGTTTCTCGTGTTTCTTATACTATTTCGTTCTATCTTTAGGTCCCCCTTAATCGTGTTACCTTTCCCCACAGCTGCAAGGTAGCTATTTCTCTCTTTACTTATTAACAACTCTTGATGAGAGATAAGTGTAGAAAAGATGGTACCTAACATGAAGAAACAAGTTCAAAACTCATCTTCGCTAACGTGTACACAGGGGAAATCCTTCACGGTCTATCAGCGGTGCACCGTCTGAGAACGTGTTGGTCTTCATCCCTTTGGGAAGGTGCTAAGACTAAGTCAAGGATGATAGGTACAGGAAGGTATACCATGTAGGTTTGGGGGAAGACAGGAATGGTATAAATCATTATTGTTTAGTTTGAGTAACGAGAATGGAAGTACTTGGACAGGATAGATTTATACTAACTGTTGAAAAGTAGGATGATGGATAGACAGAAAGAGGGAGAATAATGAAGTTGGTTTGACTGTCTGAGAGTACCTGCTTCTAGTTTTGTATCTTTTTCCACAAGGGGTGCACCTACAGTTATGTCAGTATCATCCCCTAATACGAAATGAATAACTCCGGTTTGAATCTTCAGTTAGATGTTATTCATTTTTGGGTAGTTTGGGTGCCTTTTTAGGAATATCCATCTACTTTTACAAACGATTTAATTGCTTGCATTTTTTATTCACTATCATTCCTCCTCGCAGACTTCTCTCCCCAACCTGCTTTTTCACCCAATCGTTTCCTTCTTTCTTTTTGTTTCTCTAGCATTGCCGGATGAGGCAGGTCTGAGAGAAGTAGGTTCTCCTAGCTTGAGTATAATATTATACTTTACAGAGTTCCATACGTATGGAACTATGCTATTGGTTGATGTCTGAAGCTTCATAATAAGGAAGTTATTTGTAGGTTAAGCATGTGCTTGTTATTGTGCAACTTTGTGTTGGAGTAGAAAGCTTAATTAGCTCTGTACCCTGCTAGAGGACGACGTTGGGATCATTATTCCATTCATTTTGGTGGGTTTATTTTTTCACTGACTTCATTGGGATATTATTACTGCCTCTATCGTCTTGGCCCAGTTGTATCTGAGAGATCTTTCTTAATCTGTGTGTATTTTCTTATACTGAGTTGTCACTTGTCACTTACAATTACTGGTGTGTGTATGTACTTAGTCTCTGTTAATTCAGAGACTTTCATGTTGACACCACTCCCCCATGTTTGTTCGTAAATATGTGTCGTCCCCATTCACATAATTTAAACAATTTAAGATGTGAGCCGTTTGACCCGACGGCAAGGCTAACCAAGGCCGGGTGGGATACAACGTTCAATAGAGATAGTCAATAGTATAAACGGCCATTAACATGATTATAACTTACCTTCTTTTAGAGTCAATCTTTGCTCCTTCTGATTCCTATGTTTTCATATCCATAACCCCATCCTGCAAAAAAAAGAAGAAAATCGACAAGATAAACTATCATCAAATGATTCGAACTCAGATCCTTTGAGTGAAAATCCTCCCCTCCCTCTTTCGTGTTACCTTTTATCTCCAAAAACCCATCCTTAAAACAAAAAGAGAAAATCATTTAGATGAATTTCCACCAATGGATTCGAACCCAAATCCTTTGAGTAACAAAGCCCCCCCCCCTCCCCGCCCTCAAGTTGATAAACCCTTCACCCCTTCCCTTTAAGCACCGTCTCTCCATTTCCCTTTTCCTGCTCACTCCAGCCATCTCAATCCAACAACTTCCTCCTACAGTGAGTGAAGTCGCGTGCCACAAGCGCCAGTCACGTGAAAACTTTAGTCACTGTTCATTCCCACACTATCCAGTTACCAGAATCTAATCTCTGGCATCCTGAGAACTGTGAGTCCCTCGGGGGGCAAACCGATGTCACGCTTTTCAGCGCTTGTACACAAACAAACGTACGCGTTGGGTCATGTCGTGGTAATGTATGGCAAATTAGCGTGTCAACTCGGACATGTTGGAAATGAAAGCCCGGCCTTGAGGAGTACGCCCAGTTACTGGTAGGGAGACTGGAGGCTGGTTGTTGAACTGTGGATGTGGTGTGGTGCGGAATGGTATGGTGTGGTATGTTATGGTATGTTATGTTATGCTATGCTATGCTATGTTATGTTATGCTATGCTGTGCTATGCTATGGTAGGGCAGGGTAGGGCAGAATAAGGAAGGGACGATATAGTATGGTATGCTGTGCTATGGTAGGGTAGGGTAGAGTAGGGTAGGGTAGAGTAGGGTGGGGAATGGTGTGGTATTGTAGGGTTGTAGGGTATGGTAGAGAACGGTGGGGTTTGATAGAGAATGGTAGGGTATAGTAGGGTATGATAGGGTAGGGGTAGGGTAGGATAGGGAAGGGGCGCTATGGTATGGTCAGGTATGATATGGTATCGTATTGTTTGGTGTGGCATGGTACTGTATTGTATGACGTGGTATGGTATGGTATAGTATGGTACGGTGTGCTATGCTATGCCATGCTATGCTTTGCTGTGGTAGAGAATGGTAAGGTAGGGTAGGGTAGGGCAGGGTGGGGTAAGGGGTAGGGTACGGTAGGGTGGGGTAAGGGGTAGGGTAAGGTAGGGTGCTATGGTATAGTCTGCTCTAGTATGGTATGTTATAGCATGGTATGGTCTTGTATGGTTTGGCTTGGTATGCTATGTTACGCTCTGCTACAGTAGGGTAGGGTAGGGTAGGGTAGGGTAGGATGGGGCATGATATGGTATTGTAGGGTATGGTAGAGAATGGTAAGGTAGGGTAGGATATGATGGGGTATAGTAGGTTAGGGTAGGGTAAGGAAGGGGCGCAATGGTATGGTCTGGTATGCTATGCTATGCCATGCTTTGCTATGCTATGGTAGGGTATGGTATGGGAGAGTAGGGGAAAGTAGGGTGGGACTTGGTAGGGTATGGTAGAGTATGGTAAGGTATGGTAGGGTAAGGTAAGAGGTAGGTAAGGGGTAGGGTAAGGTAAGAGGTAGGTAAGGGGTAGGGTAAGGTAGGGTTACGCAGGGCAGAGTCGTAGGGTGCTATGGTATAGTCTGCTCTGGTATGGTATGTTATAGCATGGTATGGTAGAGTATGGTACGGCATGGTATCGTGTGAGTTTAACGCTTCTTTAAATATTGTAAAGAAAACAGAATGCATGGTAATATCCAAAAAAAGCAGCAAATCCTAGTTGTAATCTCATTAGCAAAGATGAAAAGATCAAACAAGTCAAACAGTTTAAATATCTAGGATATATGATAACATCTGATGCCAAATCTTCCGCAGAAATAAAAAGGAGAACTGCAATGGCTAAGGCTAGTTTCAATAAAATGAGCCCAATCCTGAAAAATAGAAACATATCAATGAACACCAAAATGAAAGTCCTGAAATGCTATGAATGGTCAACCCTTCTATATGGCTGTGAATGCTGAAACAATCACTAAAGACAGTGAAAATAAAATAGGGGCAACAGAAATGTGGTTTCTTAGGAGACTGCTAAGAGTATCGTGGAAGGAAAAGAGATCAAATGAGGTAGTGCTTGATGAAGCCCACGTGGGACGCTCAATGTTAAAAACAATCAGGAAACGACAAATGCAGTTTTTGGGACACCTGAATAGACATAAGGGTCTTGAACATCTAGCTCTCACTGGCAAAATTGAGGGCAAGCGAGGCAGGGGTAGGCCCAGAACAACATACTTAGGGAACCTAAACAAATGGGTAACAGGGAAAAATCAGGGAAACGTAGCTTTTCTGAGAGCATCCGAGCAAAGGAATGAATGGAAAATCATGATCGCCGATGTATGTCACAGATCTGGCACTGGGTGATGATGATGATGATGAAATATTGTTAGATTATTTAAGAGGCTAGATCTCCAACTTTGATACGTTCATCAATGATATGAACTGGACTCGTATTTAGAAAACGCTCGCCTCAGGATTCAAACCAAGGTCATCCGCACTGTAACCCAAAAGTATCAACCTAATTAATGACACACCAAGTTACACGTTTAACCGTAAAAAACCACAGCAAAACCGAGCTAAATGAGTCAATATCATGATAAGCAGTGATACGTTATACAATTATATCCTGAACAGCACATAATTATAACCAGAATGGGAACCAGTTCTTTCGTTACTCTAACAGAGATGATACAGCACACAAGTTCGTGCTCGTTTCTTTTAAGAATAAACTCCCTACCAATGCCCTAGGTCGAGGGCGTTTGAAGGTCATGGACGTTTGAAATTAGCTTCAGTAGACATCTACGTTTTTAGTACCCCCTT